CTTTCTCATACTCTAGTAGTCGCACATGATTTGTTGAGCAGCACACCATGACATAATTTGGATCCTTGTATCCAAGCTTCTTGATGAATTTCAATAAAGAGTCCCACGACTTATGTGGAATTCTTTTGTCCTTTAACAGTTCATAAAGGTTTCTCATCTCTGAGAAAGTCCCTTCTTGGGACCAGCCATGCTTTACTTTGGCTTCAAGACTCCTAAGAACATAATTTGTTATGTCTCTTTGTGTATAGTGAGATGTGTGAATTTCGTCTGAAGATCCATCAACAGTATCACCACCTTCATCTACTAGCTCATCATCCATTGAGAATTCATTGACTTTCACTTTCTTTCATCACTTTCTCCATCATTTGCAGTGATTGAAGTATTATAACTAGAAAATGAAGTATCCCCCATTGCAAATGAAGTTTCGTCTCTTTCAAAGGAAGTGTCATATAAAGAAGATGGATCAACATCATTAGCTAATGAAGTATCTATATCCAATGGGGCACATCCATGAAATGAGTTAACACCAGATATTTCTTCATTGTCCTTACTTTCAGAGTCACTTGAACCCTGGGATTCGAAAGCTGCATCAACATAACCATTAAATGTATCTATAGACTCATTTTCTTCTCTGCTATCACCTATCTCGTGGGGACTTGTGACTGAATTTTCTCTGTCTTGAACAGCAGAAAAATGTTTTCTTACAGTTCTCTGTTGTCGCATCTGTCCATTGCACATAGGACAGTGACAAGGCCATTTTGCACCTTAAAATTAAAATATGAAGCATTGTTGAACTAAATATTCAAATGCATGACACAAATATTGGYTTAAATTAATCGTCTTGAAATATGCACAATCCAATTTTTAATCAATCAATGGACAAAATAAAGGATAGTGCATTAAGTAAATCCATAAGAGATATTTGTTTACAATAGTAATTTATAACTTATTATTCTCTGTGTGCAATCACATAGCAAGAAATCCCTGAGAAATTGAAGGGACATGGTCCACCAGCATCCCTTTCCAGCATTTGTTTATGTTTGAAAATAAAAATACTTCGTAATATAGGCAAAAACTTACTCTTTATTAGTAGAATCTTAAATTGAGATATAAACTTAAGCTTAAAGGGACATAGACCTTTTCTGAAATACAAAATCATGGTGCATTGTGGTCTAGCTTCAAACTAGACTACAAAATAACTGCTATCTCAGAAAAGGCCTATGGTCCACAAGCTTTCAATACGGTCGTGTTTTAGATTTTTCATATATGGAAAATGAGGTGACTTCAAATATTCCATTCGCAATCCGTTTCCATCCATCGGTTTAAAGGTCGAATCTTACAGTATATCCATTCATATAGTATTAAGGGATAATAGAGAGTAAGTCTTTACTTATATTACGATGCATTTTTATTTCCAAACATAGACAAAAGGTTGAAAGGGATGCTGGTGGACCATGCATGAGCCCCTCCCAGGGGGGGGGTACATATGCTCCCTTGATCCCCAGTTTTTTTTTGCTTTTTCTCCCTTGATCCCCATAAATAAATTCAAAAGCTCCCCAAAATCTAAAACTAGGCTCCCCAAAATCTAAAACTAGGCTCCCCAAAATCTAAAGCTAGGCTCCTTGATCCCTGAAAATAATTTGACGATCTCCCCAGTTCCCTAAAAATAAATGACCAATCTCCCTTGCTCCCTAAAACCCCTGGGAGAGGCTCATGTATGCCCTTTAAATCTTTATTTATTATAACTTACTAAATGTTAACTTACCACTCATACTTGTTTTGGCTGCTTAAGATCCATTGAAATCAAACGAGTGTCGCTTACAGCAGTAGTTATTAGGCTTTGCTTCATAAAGAATACACAAAAAAGGCTCTGATCTGAATAGATGTCATGCACGTGCAACACAAGACGTCGGCAAGATGTCCTTTGTTCGATCTCCWCTCTAATATCACGTGAGCAATTACTGCATTGCTATGTGTCCAGCGGTTTCTTCAAACAATTGTGAGCCGATCGACCGTTCGTTGTGGTTTGTAACGCTGAATCTTTTGTGACTKTTTTTGGTTTCTACACACGCTTTATATAATGGGATCTACAAATGCTTCGGTAAGTAGTTTATTTAAATCGATACTTTTAAAGAGAATTGATTAGCTTTAACTCTGTATCAAGTATGCTTGCTGCATGTCACGACGACGACGTGCGTTAAACTTAAAGTTTACAGTTAGCTTCATAACTTGAGTTTAAGATTATTTTTGTTTCTAATGATAGGCTTCCTCTGGAGATTCAAAAGACTTTCTTCAGAAGAATGGCCTAGATGAATTAATCCCCCTCCTAGTGGAAACAAACAAGGTGAGTTTTAATCAACCGTTGAGCATGTAAAAAATCGCGCCAAAAATTATATATCAAATGACAAACTAGAAAAGAACCTGAAAATGTAAAAGAAACTCCAATAGAATATTYCCTTTTTGAAACCATAGCRAATTCTAATAGAGGAGCTCCCGCTCGGCCCGCGCGAGCGGAGCACCATAACTAAGGAAAAATGGTAAACCCATGAGGTTGAGTTTTGATCAACCGACACAGGAAGCCCAGTTATTATTTTATGATTCCTTCAATGATTGAAAAATACCAAAACTGCCAAAATGCATTTAATATTATATATAATTCCTGTATGATTGAAAAATGTCAAAGTTTCAAAATATATTAAGAATTAATACTAATTTATGATTTCTGTAAGATTATCTAAGGAAGTTTTATTTTGGTAAATAACCACAAGAATTCAAAATAAGTGGTTTTCTTTACATATAATTATATATATCACTGATTTGCAACAACAAAGCTGAAGAGAAAAAGTTTAATAATTATTTAATGTAGTGCCATGGAATTTTTTTGTTAGCAAAAATAAATTAGTCTTGACAAAACATGTACTAAAAATCTGACCAATGTGTCTTGCATCACATCTTCATCCAACATGCATATCTTTTRGGAGCTCCGCTATTAGGTTTTACCTAATTTTTATATTATGTTAGTAATCAATTGAAGATTGGTGAAGTAGTTGTGCCGTGTATTTGGCGAGGGTTTTTAAAAAAGTATATTGGCGTCACAACGGGTGTCACGCTACGCTTCCACGCTTCTTTACACGTGTCAACACCGGTGAGGCTTTACGAAAATAAAACACAGGAAGCCCTACACAAAGAAATATCGGTATTTGAAAGGCTAGGTATGCACTTAATGTAAGACCCAACACGATATACCCTTAACCTAGCCTAACCCTAATTACAGTGAATAAAATGCCAATTCCTGGTGTGTTACATACTAACTGCTTGAAATTCCAAAATCATAATTCTGCTTAATTTGAGGTTTTATGATGGTCATATGGAGTATAKGTATTCAATTTTTAACCATAGTTAAATAAAAAAGAAGTGAAAAATTGTTAGATACACACAGGAGAAACAAGTAAATTCAAGCTTCACACTTTATAATAAACAATGTTATTTATCTTTTATTTGTTTATTTATTTATTGAGCTATTTATCAGTAGAATGTTTTGACACCTTTTTGAATATTGAAGGACATACATTACGAAAAAAGTGGTATAGAATGTGTATTTTGAAGTACAATTCAATATCATAAACACACCAAAGAAAATTTTTATTAGTAGATGGAAACGCTTTGCAATAGTTAGTTCAGTTTTAACTTGATTATAAATGTAATTATCTTCCAGTTTGAGACTGTTTCGGAGCTTCGCATGTTGGCAAAGAATAAAGACATGTTAAACCTAATGCAAGTACCTGGAAAATACTTAATGCTGCTTAGGAGTGTTTTGGAACACTTTGGAAGGTTCGTTTTCTAATGTATATGACTAATATACTCATACGTTTTACTAACCCATCCAAACCACAGAAAGGTTCAACTTGTCTAAATGTCCTTATTAATTTTATATATTGTTAGATGTACCACATGACGCAATTGCTGTTGAAGATAAAACAGTGGTGGATGAAGTGGTGGGCGACCAGAAAGATAATTAATTAGAATTGGAAGCCAATTCACAATCAAGAGATGCACAGAATGAAATACCAAAGAGGAAATTGATACAGCTGTCCAAAACAAGCCTTGCTGCACAAACTATCAATCAAAAAGTGAATTCTTTCAATGGAATTCTTTCAGGTCTTGTAAATGAGGCATCGAAAGAGGAAAAGGTATTTATCTTCAATGTTTTCATTGTCAAGCAGTTTCACACAGTTGCAACTAAATCATTATTATAAATTTGTTTTCCTATCATTTGGTCATACAATTGGACCAATGCTGTACAGTTGTAGACTTTTACTTGATTTTTGTTGTTAAAGACATTTCTGGCCACAAGTCTTCAGCAGTGGTCCTTAACGAGTGATCTTCATTATTGAGCACAGATTTGCTATTCAAGGAGATAAGTATTTTGTCAGTTCCTGAGTTCTTATTGCCTTCTTATGTATCACATCTTTTAAGCCGATGTGTTTCTCTATCTTTATTCATATCTCTTGCTTTATATTCAGAATAGTTGTTTTGTCATTTTGCTACTGTTATTTTTAATATATACAATATACTTGAAAATTCTAGAATCTAGTGTACCGTAATAACAGAGATCACATGTTAACAATCAATGATGAGGATCTGGGTACCAGTCAAGTTTCAAATTGAAGTTTAACAGGCTATAAAGACTGCCAGTGCACCAGGATTTTTAGAATTGTCTATTCTGTAGGCCATAGCCGACAAATTCCTGGTTTAATATACTTCTTTATGCTTCTTGTCTGCAATATTTCACATTTGAAATCTACAGTCAGAGCAGAAGGTTTTSTGAATAGTCATAAAACTAATGATAACAACTAAATGTTTTAAGTGGTATGGTAAAGGAGCTTTGAAAGTAGCTAATGGCACGTCATATGAAGAAGCAAGGGAGAACTGCTTTTTAGTTGGACAAATGGTCAAAAACCCAGAGCTCCAGAAGAAACTTTATTATTTGCTGTTTATAGGCAAAACTGGCATTAAGTACCACCAAATCTGCATCATCTAGTKAACTCCCACATGAACTTCCAACATCAAGTGCAAATGTAAGAATTAAACGATCAGTAACATTACCTAAAAACGCTTGCCTAAATATTTTGAACAAATGTAGTATCATGATAATTTTTTTTGTATATTTTTGTTGACCATGCCAAACAATATATCACTGTAATTATATTCTTTATTTTCTTGATAGTTGATTGTCCTTTTTTTTCTAGGGTGAGAGGAGTTCTGTGGATACAGAAAATGTAAGTAATTTATGCACAAAAAGTGTTTCATGTAGGATAAAAACCAGAGTGCACCAAGGTACATGTACAAGTATCCTTGGTTATTAAATAAAGTTGGCATTATGTAATGTGTATACAAAGCTGTTATAATAGTTAATTGTCTTTTTAAGGTTCTATATTCTAGAATTTTAAAACATTTTCTTTTTCTAGGATGAAAGGAGTTCTGTTGATACAGAAAATGTAAGTACATTTGAGGCATAAGCTTAGTATTATGTACTGTGTATGTCAAGTTGTTATATTGAGACTTGCAGTTGAGACCTCTTTAAATTTAATATGAGTATAGATCTAAATCAAATTGGCAGACACATCATTATATGTAGGTACTTGTGTTAGTAGTCAGTAATCATTATTCTTATTTATTTTTCTTTTCTTTTGTTAGCACGATATCTCTGATTTTGAAAAGAAGAGAAATGTTAACATTACCCTCAACACATCATTAC